GAGAGTTTTCGTCGCCTTGTTATTGACAAGTGTGGCGGCCGGAATGGGAATTCCCACGTTTGAGACCAACACAGGCTGCCAAGAGCGGAGTAGTGTAGCGAGATGAATGCTCATTGCAAGATTTCGTTTCAGGAGTTCGTTTGCGTGTGGGGTGAGAAGATGGCAATCAGTTCTTATCGTCCGATTGGCGACAATGGTGGCGGCTGAGATCGACACTGACCATGGCGGGGCACATTGCACTCCGTATCTACATCGCCACAGAGAACTGCCCGGTGAACCGTACGCAGAAAAGGACAAGAAACGGGAACGGGGGGGAGAGGGGGGACTTTTCCGTTGGAGTTTCACCGACTCATCAGGAGGCTGAATCCTCTATGGTGTAACCAGTTAGGGAACTCTGCAGACTGTAGAGGGCTCAGCCCCCTGATGAGTCTGTTGGTGAAACGCCGACGAAACAGTTTGTCACAGCCCCTCGTTTGTTGTCCTTTTCTCCCTCTCTGCCTACGGTTTACCGGGCAGCTCTGTTTGACGATATACACAGCCGGGGTTAAGGTGGATTATCACTTACAGTGTAATCAGTTACTAGGGAATTCTGCAGACTGTTGAGGGTTCAGCCTCCTGATGAGTGGGTGAAACTCCGACGAAACAGTTTGTCACAGCCCCTCGTTTCTTGTCCTCTTCTCCCTCTCTGCCTACGGTTTACCGGGCAGCTCTGTTTGACGATATATATGCATATGGTTTACCGGGCAGTTCTTTTGCTGATGACGGATTTCGTCTCCTTGCAATGTTTTTCTAACTGCTTTTACTCTGTCCTGTCTTTTTTCTCTTATGCTGCAGTTGGCATCGGATATCGACGTGCTGCTTGAAATTCCCGGGAAGCTCATTAACGAAATAGGCGATGGAGAATCCTATTCTCAATCGCTCTTGGGCATTGCTGCATCCGTGTGTCAATTGGTAAGAACGACTTGAGGACGTCCCCCTCCCCCTCCCCCTCCCCCTCCTCCTCCTCCTCCTCTTCACTTTGTCTTTCCTTGTGTTATTTAAACTTATTTTCTTCCTCTTCTTCGTCTTCTTCTTCTTCTTCTTCTTCTTTCCCCCCCCGTTCTCCTCCTCCTCCTCTTTCTCAACTTCCTCCCCCCGCTCCCACTCCTCCTTCTCCTCCTCCTCGACCTCCTCCCCCTCCTGCACCAAATCAAGAGTTATATTGAGCAAGAAGAACTCAAAGCAGCTATTTTTTCTTCAAATGAAGTTCTAATTGGATTTGAATGAAGATTGAAGCACATCAACGAGAACGGTATTGAGTTACTATTAACCAAAGAATCGAAGATTAGTCGTCAGTTCATGGAGACGAACGAACGTTTATACTATCCAGCCCAATCACTTAAAAATCCTACACTCAGCCTCTCCCTCCTAGCAGTTGTAATCCTACTTCCCTCGTTTCTCTCCAGAAGTTTCAGCTATGTCTGCCAAGCTCCACTTGATGACCGATGTAGAAGATGAACGTCGCTTCTACGACGATGCTATGGCTGCCAGCAGAGTACGGTTGTTGTGTTTGATGAACGAACTGAGCTCTCACTTTGGCTTGCTACATGGCCCCGCCTCATTTGACACATTTTGCTGTGCTTTCTCGTCGCACTAAACGTATTTTTGTCTTCATGCAAAGCACATAAACATGGCCACGAACCAAATCAAATCAAATCCCATCTACTCCAATCGAATCCAATCCAATCACATCTACTCTAATCAAATCAAATCAAATCAAACCTACTCCAATCCAATCAAATCAAATCTACTCCAATCGCATCTACTGAAATCAAATCAGATCTACTCCAATCCAATCCAATCCAATCCAATCCAATCAAATGAAATCTACTACAATCGAATCAAATCGAGTGAAATCCAATCCAATTCAATCCCATCCTATTCAATCCAATCAAAGCAAACCAAATCAAACCAAATCAAATCAATTCAAATCAATAAAGTGAAATAAAGAAAAGTCTCAAACAAAAAGACGACAAAGTTGCACAAAGGAATATCGACTGGCAATATTTTATCCTCACTTCTTTTTGTTGGTTCCGACTTTTTTTTTTTTTTTTTTGTTGTGTTCCCGGATACAGGTGGCAGATATTGCTTGGCGAGTGGAGTTGAATCTTCCTGTTCCATGTTTGGTGACAGTCACAAGACTCCTGATGAAAATTGCTTCTGATCTCTCTTCCTCCGCTGACGTGGAGGTGAAAAGGACATTGGCTACAAAGTTCGGACCTGCAGCAAGTTTAAACGCGGAGAGGACCGCGAAGTGCAAAATAACATGCGATGCTCTGAGAGCATTAGGGTGAGGAGACCACTCTTGCCTGCTCTCTTATTCATCATGCACGTGAATCCCACGGCCTCTCAGAAACCGCTCTTCCTTATCTTCTTCAAACTGGTTGAGGCCCTCTCTCTCTCTCTATCCCTTTCTCTCCCTTTCTCTTTTTCTTCTTCTTCTTCTCTCTCTCTCTCTCTTTTTCTCTCCCTCTCTCTCTGTGATCAACCTTGCCTGGTCTTATTCACCATGTACGGGAATTTCGCGGCTTTTCCGTAGCCTCACTCCATTCTGTTCTACCTGGCTGAGGTTGCCTCTCTCTCTCTCTCTCTCTCTCCTCTCTTTTTCTCCTGCATTCTCTCTCCCTCTCGCTCTCTTTGGCCAAGCTTGTTGTTCACTCACGACATCCTTACTACACATTAGGCGTTTGGGTGAGTGGGCGTGCCATCAGCTCCCTCTCTCTTTCTCCTGCATTCCCTCTCTCTCTCTCTCTCTCTTTGGCTAAGCTTGTTGTTCACTCACGATATCCTTACTACATAGTAGACGTTTGGGTGAGTGCGCTTGCAATCAGTTTATTGCCGCTTTGTAATCTTTTTCTATTGTGATGACGTCAACATGGCCAAGGGAATTCTCAGTATATCAGTACGCTCTGCAAGAACAAACATGCTAAGGGTCCCGATGGAAAGCCATTTGGGTCTGTCGAAGGGAGGGGTTGTTGGGGGCAGGATCATGCATCCTTTTTTTTTTTTTTTTTTTGAAGGAAATTAGAGCAGATCCACTGGGGACTGCGCTTGAAATGAAACGGAACCCCAGATGTAAGGGACGATGGACCCCATTTCCAGCTCTTCAAAACAAGAAGGAAAAAATAGGGTACAAAGTTACTACAAACCTAGGCTACCAGAGTGGCCCGGGGCAAGTTGCCCCGGCCGGGCAAAAAAAACAAAAAAAAAAAAACAACTTTTTATTTCAAATTTGGTAAAGAATTTCGATGTGACCCTGGGGCAAAAGTTGTCTAGTTTATTTTTGTGCGTCATATAGTTTTTTTCAGATTTTTGGATTTTTTCTTTTGTTTTTGCTGGGCCCGTCGTTCATCCTCGCACAGCCGGCCCGCCCGGTCAAACAAGTTGACCCAGGCGGCCCGGCTGGTAGCCCAGCTACAAACGCACTGCAGCAACAGCGTATCATGCTGTCTTTTCGAGAAACCTGGCAAACTGCAGTAGCTTGTAATTTTTGTGAAAATTCACCGGTCTTGCTTGTTTCTTTTTCGAGCGTTTGATTTTTTTTTTATTTTTTTTTTTTTCGAGTAAGTTCTCTTGTTTGCCAAACATTTTCAAAGATTTGTCGCCGAGTTTTAAATTTTGTTCAAGTGTACACATCACGCCGTCCTTCCGAGAAACCTGTTGCAGTTAAAGTTAAAACCTCCACTCCATCCTGACTTTACTTTGGCCAAACAAAAGTTGCATTTCTCCAAGCCTAAGATCTACAACGCCGCCCTGAGGAAAAAGTAATTTTGCTGCCGATCCTGGGTACTGTAGATTTTGATTCTGGCCCGGTGCTTGTAGACAAGAAAAATGAACAGTGCAGACAAGAAAAATGAACAGTGCAGACAAGAAAAATGAACAGTGCAGATACCTTCCTGGGCAAGCTTGGCGCCCGCCACCTAGAGATATGCCGTTGGTCCCCCCGAGTGGCATTCAGCAGAGACTGCTGGTGTTCATAGGGGGAGGGGAGCGGAGGGGAGGCACAGTGACTGGCCCATCGAAGAAGCTCGGTCCTGATGCTACCGGCTGACCCCTGGCCGGTATCGCCCACCTGCTGTAGCAGGTATCGCACCTGCTGGTGGGTGCAGCTCCCGCATGTTCCCTCGTTGGAGGCTTGAGCACGGATGTGGCTGCTACGGGGTTCCCCGTAATACTATCTATAATGACAATAAAAAAAGAAAAGGCCTGAAAGGCCGTCCTGTCCAGATTCGGCAGGTGATTGAATTGGTTGGGCTTAAGGAATTAGCCTTTAAAAGAAAAAAAAATGAACAGTGCAGACAAGAAAAATGAACAGTGCGTGCAGAGGCCGTTGGAGTGGCGGTTTAAGGAGGGAGTTGGATGGGCATTGCCAAAAATGTCGTCAACCATATGGATTACCTGCTGCCTGAAGGATGGATGAGAATGGTCTGTTTATCTTCTGTGGAGGAGCTGTGAGAGATCAAGTGCGATGTTCAAATGTTCGAAAGCTCAGCCATCCTTAACTTTTAAATATTGAAATTTAGAAGTTGGAAAGTATCTTTAAGGTGTGAATATGTGATTATGACGTCAATAAATATCCTGCAGTCCCCCCGTGCCCCCCCCCTCCCGCCCCCCCCTCCCTCTCTCCTTTTGTCCTGGGGCAAAGTGCAAGATGGGCATACAGTGTATCGGGAACAGCAGTGGCTGCCAACATCTTTCCACCAGGATGGTGCTCTGATACCTGTCTATGTCCTGTTGCCATTGGCGAAGACTTGGCCATTGCTCCTGAGCTCAGTTCGAATTTACTTTTTTTTTTTTTCTTCAAACTTCTGTTTTCTAATAATTAAGGCTGAAAGCCCCTACCACTATCGTCTTGTCAGGATCTTAACTCATAATCTGTTTATTTTTACCAACAGCCAAGTGGCAGGTATAGCACTTTGCCACTTGGCAGGTATAGCACTCAGCCAAATGGCAGGTATAGCACTCAGCCAAATGGTAGGTATAGCATTTTGCCACTTACCAGCTACATGCGCATACCACTCAGCCAAATGGCAGCTATAGCACTTTGCCACGTACCTGGATTCTCGATTTCTGATCATTGGTTTTTGTAATGTACAGCCAGCAATGAAGAATGCGCTAAGTTGCGCCTCATGCCTGCAGTTGTGTCACCTGGTAAAGGTTTGTGATGTGATGATGATTGATGATGACGATGATGATGATTGATGATAATGATGATAATGATGGTGACAATGATGATGATGATGATGATGATGATGACGATGATGATGATTGATGATAATGATGATAATGATGGTGACAATGATGATGATGATGATGATGATGATGATGATGATGATGATGACGATTGATGATGATTGTAATCTGCACGGTGTTCTGTGTTTGATGCAAACAGGCAGGTTATGCATGACAATGCAGGGCAACTACCGCAATTGGAAGCGACGAGACTTGTGAAGTTCCTGCTGTCGTTTGTTGAGCAGCCAAGGAGCAGGTCTGTTGTAGGAGCGAGTGCAACAAAAGATGTGGGAGTGATTCCGAAAGTATCAGTCCTATTGCCGTCTTCGGGCAGAAGACAGGGCATATCATGTCCGGAAAATGCAGATTGTTATGCGCAAAAGAACGAGCAGCAGAGTGGTAGTGCAGGGTTCCCAAGCATCTGCGACAAGGCTCACTGTATCCAGGGCTCGCAGGGCAGCATCTTGGGTCCGCATCCACTCTCCGAGGAAGAGGACTTGGATATGCTCATTCTTGTCTTTGTGGCGTTGGGGAACATCTTCGCTGCTGCCCGAGGGGGAGTCCTCTTGTCAAAGCCTGAACTGGTGAACGTATTGAAGGTATGGATGAGTTGTATACGGCTTTACTTATGTATGTATAAATAAATTAGGAAAATAATATTTATTCAAATTATTCTATATAAGTAAAGTAATGAAACCAGTCTTGTTGAGAAGCTCAATCAGCAATGTCATGCAAGTATCGTTCCAAGCGCTCAAACTCTAGTCTCCCAAAGACGCGTTCATGTTCCAAAGCTTCCAATTGCACATCACAGAAGCAGCGAATGATCAGAAATACACAGAGGAGAGGAGAGAAAGCGATAAGGGGGAGAGAAGAGTTACATTAACAGTCTATAGTACAAGTATGTCGGCTCTCGTAATCCCACTTCTCCATCGGGCATCTCCCCTCCAGCATGCCACCTCAGCAATACATGTCGCTCTCTGAAAGTCACCGACAAAGTCCCTGTGCAGGTTTCGGCAATGGTGCCCAAGCTCCAACCACAGACCTGGCTATGGAGGTTGGCGCTCACCTTCTTCAACCTCTTGAAGACCAGCACCAACTCCTATAACATCAGCGCCCAGGTAAGTACAGGTAAGCTTCCCACTTACTCTCTCCACATGCCACACTCACAGTCTCACAGTTCTGATCTTCCTCTTACTAGCCGAGGCACTTCCTAGCAGCTATGGCGGCAGCCTCTTCCGGGCTATGGCCTCCGCCCAAGACCATCGCTTGCCTGGCTGGCGCTCTTCTCCTATTTGTGTTGCCAGCCTCACATTACCTGAGCCTCGCGAACAGCACTTTGGCCGGGGCAAAGTGCAAGGCAGAATGACGCAGGGCCTGGCAGTCTTCTTATAGCATTGACCGGCGCTGACCAGCCTCCCCTTGACTTCATTGACGGCCCAGATTTTTCAGATGTCGATGGCCTGGATGCACTGCTGGCCCAAATGTGCTGTGTCCCAGTTGATATCGGAATCTTCTGGAAACCTGCAGACAGCCTTTGATGTGCATCTGAAATACGGCTGTGGTTGATTTCTGGGAAGACTTAGACTCTAGGACTGCTTTTCCCTGAATGGGTCAGACTCTTGATTTTCCAAGAGAAGTGCCTCACGTAGGGGTACAGGACACGGCTTTCAACTCAGGAGTTGGGGCCTCAAACCCCTTTACCCTAGGACCTTTCCGAGCCCCCTCTTGGACTGGGGACGCAACTTTTGACCCCTGAATCATGACTTTGACCAGGAATTACGACCCTGGTTTGACTGTGTGGATCTGAACTGAGTTCATCGGATATAATTTGGAGAATTTTGGACCATTACTTTTTTTTTTTTTTTTTTTTTGAGCCTTGCTGGATTCCCGCACGTCATGTGTTCCCAGGAGCAACGGTGGGGGGGGCGGGCAGGCCAGGCACTCTGGGTGCTAGGTTGCTGCTAAGATTGCATGAACCTGGCCATCTTTTAGACAAGGATCATGCTTTCAAGGCACTGGCATAGCACCAGTTGCCGGGGGGGAGAAGGGGGTTGCTTAGCTTTCTCTTTGTTGGTCCGACTTTGACGGATGTCTCGAAGGGGAACAAACTCGATTTGAAAAGCGCATCTCAATGCTGTTGATTGAAAATGTGAGTGTTTCCGTTCCACCATTCTCCTTCCGAGAGCCTCCGCTTCCTGACCTCTCATTCTGAAAGAGGAAGAGGGCGGGGAGGGGGGGAAAGATGTAGGAGGAGAGGAGAATGTTGGGTTGCTGACAGCATACGCACGCTAGGACTTTCATGAACGAATCTGCTTGTAATTCACACCAGACTCAGTCGAAAAAAGTCCCTAGTGTGAGTGAGTATGCCCTCACAGTTTCTATTTGCCAGACAAAATTGAAAATTGTGTAGGCAGTTTCTAGTTTCTTGCGCTGGGAAATGCTGTGCAAACAAGGAATCCAGTATGGATTAGAGTTAGGGCACCAGTTCAAAGTATAGTTAGGCCGAGAGGAACAAAGGGTTAGGGCGGCGAGGGGGGATTGAATCACTTTCCTTCGTGATAAGCCTGATAAGGTCAACTGTTCAGGTTGATGCTTTGCGAAACCTTCCTTCCCTCCCTTCCCTTTTTTTGTTCGAGAAAATCTTTTCTTTTTTGAAGTTTTTTCTCTCTTTTTTTTTTTTTTCCCCTCACTGTTTTAGGGGAGAAGCCCCCTACTAGTTACATGAGGATATGAACTCTTGATCTGTTTATTGGCAATTTTAAATGTTCGCAGTCCTATGAATCATTCAGCCATGGGGCATTTAGTCTCAGCAAGCCTTTTCTTTTTTTTTTTTCGCTGCTTGAGAGGAGAAGGCGCTAATGGTTACACGAGGATGTGAGCCCTTGATCTGTTTAGTTTAGTTGAACTTTATCAACAATTAAATGAGTGTAGTACTGTGTGCCGTTCAGCCATTGGGCAGGTGCAAGATCAATCAAATCTTATTCCGTCGATGGAGGCCATTTCCTCATAGGGACTGTCCAGATGCAGCTGCTCATGAAGTTCATGTTTACCGTTTCTCGTAGGCAACGGCAAGTCACTTGAGCAGTTGGGTGTTGCATGCCCTGTGGAGAGGTCTGCCTGTCGGTGAAATGTGAACAACAGAAATTTGACGAACGCAACAAGTGCCTGCTACATTTTATGGCAGGCTCATGCACACGCCTCTCAAAAACCTTTGCTTCCCGGCCTAACCATTCCATTCTGTTCGAGGTTACCAGAGTGGGCCCGGGACCACTTTCATGGCCAGGCAAACAAATTTTTTTTTTTTTTTTTATTTTTTATTATTGAACTTGACATTGCCGGTGGTGTTCCGCTTTTGTTGTGCCAGCTTTTGCAGGAGAGGCTAGCAGATGTTTCTTCTGGGAAAGGCAGCAGGATGGAATTTACGTTTATTGAGCTGGGGGTCGTGGTGGTGGGTTCTGCTTTCGTTGTGCAACTGCTGCAGGAGAGCTTCGATGACATTTTGTCTGGGAATGTCAGCAGAAAGAACTTTTAATTTATTTAACTTGGCATCGTGGTGGTGTTCGGCTTTTGTTGTGCAGCTTCTGCAGCAGAAGGTAGAAGCTATTTCTTCTGGGAAAGGCTTATGTGAGGATTTCTTGTCCTCCAGGTCAGAAATTAGAATCTAATTCTCCTTGCAGACTCCCTGATTGTTAAGATGTGTTCTTGTCGAACTCAGGTTACATAAGTGTACCGTCCAGCATGGACCCTGGTTGTTAAGATGTAGTACTTGGAAGTTTCTTCTTTTCTTGGTTTCCTTGGCGAGTATGAGAACAAACTCTTCCTCCTCCTCCTCCTCCTCCTAACCGCCTTGTAGTGAAATCTGAGATATTTTTTTAATTGCACAAAATCGACATTTGTTTTTCAGGGCTATTTTGCATGGAACGGGTATACTGTCTGCTAGAAATTGTGCCCTCTTTCTCTCTCTCTCCGGGTAGGGAGAG